ACTTCAAAGAGTCTCACCCCCTGCTGGGTTTGTATGTTTGTTAAGATAGTCTCCCCATGTAGCCCAGGTTTGCCAGGAACTTGCCAGAGCAGCACTGGGATGTTACCATCACATCCAACTAGAATAAGTCTTTTCATGGGGTGGGAGGAAGAACTACCATGCCACTACTATACCTTAAATTTTGTCTAAAAATTAAGCATATTCCTTACTATCGTGAGTTAGAATGTCCCCCAATTGCTCATGAATATATTTTTGCAGCGAGTTTGGATTTGAATCATTTGGCTGTCACATCTAAATTTCTTAGAATCCAGACACTCCCCGTCTTCGCTTTTCTTGTCATTTCTGTTGTTATTGAAGTAGAAATGCAGCCATCTCTTCTGTAGTTCCCCAGTCCAGATTTTGCTAACTGTCCCCACGTGTCAATTCATGTGTTCCTCTAGCCCTCATATTTCCTGTAAACTAGTTATTAAATCCACGGAACCAGAGTCAAGTTTGACTCTTTTTGGCAAAATAATATCCACCTGGGGTTCACTTTCTAAAAGATGTGTCTCTGCAACTCGAGCAAGAGGCGCAGGTGTTGCCATTGGAAACACGTATTCTAAAGCTCCTATCAGGCTGGGTGAGGGCACGAGACTCTTGGGGAAAATGCAGCCTGGCTCAGCAGTGGCCAAGTTTGCACTTTGCAAAAATCATTCTGGAAGCTGAAGGCTGGGCTGGAGAGGGTAGTCAGACTCAGGGTAGGGTGGGGTGGGGGGGCTGCATGGTCATTCCCTTTCTGGCTTTCTGGGTGAGGGGGACTACAGGGACAGAAAGCAGATCTGGGCTTAGAAAGAGAGAGAAGAGGTTGGTGGAAGACACAGGGGCTTGTGGGAAGTGAGTCGTTTCCTCTGCTGTGGTGTTTGTTCGTCAGGGCTCACTGTCCATCAACTAGCCCAAGGCTTGCTGCTGACTCATCTTGTTTTTGTTTGTGGGGAGACAGGGGCCTCATGTAGCCCAGGCTTCCCCCAAAATGTTCTTCCTACCTCTACTACCCGAGTGCTGAGATTCCAGGATGCACCATCATATCTGGTTCATCTCCAGATCCCAGGCTCTGTCAGATCTAAACTCTGTCAGAAAAGCCCAGTGCCTTGGGGCTGAAGAGATGGCTCATTGGCTAAAGGTATGCACTGCTCTTACAGAAGACCTGAGTTTGGGGTCCCAGTGTCCATATCTGACAGCTCCCTGCTGCCGGCAGCTACAGTTCCAAGCGATCCAGCGCCCCCTTCTGGCTCCCTTGAGCACTTGCACTCACACGTGCACATACACAGACAAAAAAAATAATTGGAAAACAAAAAAAGAATGAAATAAAAGCACAGCCCCTGTTGCTCATTGTCCACTCATCCATTTAACCAGCACTGACTGACTGTGCCAGGGTACTTGCTAGGATATGGAAGCTCCAGGCAACTAAGACCATTTTTGTGCTCAGGGCGTATTCTGGTTCACCAACACCTTTATCTCTGCTGGCCCTCTTCTCAGTTCTTGCCAGAGAGAACTCATGGGTGTATCAAAAAATAATCTTTATTGCCACTAGTATAAAACAGAGCAGATCAACTGGCCTCTTAGTCTGTACAGAGTGTGGGGCTTGAGACCACCTGGGCTGCCCCTACTTCTCACATAATGCCCCTCACTGGAATAGTGCCTCAGGAGCTCCTGAGGAGAGGACCACAAATGTCTCCCTTGAGGACAGGCGTCAGGGATGGACAAGGTTGGGGGATGGTCTGTTGCCTGAGGGAGGTAAAGAAACAAGAGACGTGGGATGGAAGAGCGCTTCAGCCGTTCACTATCCCCTCCACCTGCGTCAAGTCCACTGAACGGAAGGGTGGCAGGCAGCCCCATGGGCTCTGATGGCTCATGTGGCCTCAGAGGGCCACACGGGCACAGCAGTGGCGTAGCACACAGGGCAGGATGCCTCGGTTCAGCTGGTGGAATTCCACCAGCTGCAGCAGGTCTGTGAATCGGGTCTGGCCGTCGTCCATGCTGAAGTAGAGGCAGCCCTCATCTTCGCTCTGTGGTGTGGCCAGAGAGCAGGTCAGGGAGAGGTCCCGGGTGGAGGAGCGGCCCATGGGGCTAGCAATCGACCCCCGTTTCTTGTACAGGGAAAAAGCAAGGCGCAGAGTAGGGCTTCGAGTCATGTATCCCCTGGCTACGAGAATCCCCAATGAGGAGTGGGGGGTTACTCACCGGTAGAATGAGGTAATGCTTGACTTTCTGTAGGTGGCATAAGGAAAGGACAAAGCCCTGTGGGTTGCGCTGGCTCTCCCGGACCAGGAACACACTTTGGGGAGACAAAACCGCATTACCAGGGACTCCTGGTTCCACCTGCCCTAGGGTCTCGCTGGTCCCCGGGTCTGTTACCCGACCCAGCCCAGCCCCTTACCCATCCACCAGGCCCTGCTGTCCGATTAGCCGCTGGCTCTCCTCCCGGGAAATGCGTCCGTGGAACCAGGGCTGGGTACGGTGGATGGCTGGGGTCAGGGGAAAAGATACTGGTCATTCGGGGAAGGCACCTCGGACCCCAGCCAAGATTGCTCAGAGTAGCAACGCAGCCCATCCTAGGAACTCTAGACCATCACCCACCTGCACTAAGACTGGAGCCAGAGGATGGAGTGGGCAGGCTCAGACGGTGGTTGGTCTTCTTCTGCAGTGGGGGACATGGGAGTCAGGGTGCCGTTGGCATCCGCCACCTCCCCAAGCCCTCCTCCTTCCTACTCCATGAAAGCCCATTGGGAGCCGTGCAGCAGACACACAGATGCACGCAGACCCTTACCCTCCAGGCCTGGGCCTCCTCCATGGCAGCACTCAGAGCCTCCCGGGGGTTCTCAATGACACGCCCAGCCTGGCCAGAGAAGTCCATGGCCACTAGGGTGTTATCTGAAACGCTCCTCTGGGAAGAGGACAGAAGGAGGGAGGGGGTCAGAATAGCTGTCCTGAGTCTGTATCCCCACCTCTCCTAATACCCTTGAGTAGACTCACCAAGGGCGGAGACCCCAAGTAGGATAGGCGCAATTGACGAGATTGAGTCTGCTGGTAATTCTTATATAACTGCACCCCATACTGGAGGCAGGAGAAGAAAAAAAAGGTTTGAGGTCAAGAGAGCCTAGGAGATGGGCTGTGACAGTGCTCAGGCCAGGACTTCTCCAGAGCGGGGCTGAACCTGCCCTTCCTGACTGGTATTCTCGGAGGCCGGGGCTATGGTGACCTCTTACTGGGAAGACAGAGCTACATCACCTCCCTCAGGCAAGGCCAGCCCCCCTGCCATCCCGGGGGTCTCACCTTGAAGAGACGGAAGGCAGCCAGCCAGCAGGTACGGCTCTGCTCATCCTCACTGCAGAAGATGTGGAGCCCCTTGTGGCCATTTCGAAGCTTGTTGGGCTGTGGGGAGAGGAAGTGGGCTGTCCCCTGTCCGATTCTGTGCCCACGAGGCAGGGAAGGACCCAAGGACTATCCAGACGTGCAGGTGTAGGGAGAATAGGCTGGGATTCTCAAGGTGGGGGTCAAAAGCCAGAGGTAGGACACTAGAACGGGGCCGCTCTCGCCCTCCCCCAGACCAGGCCAGGCTTGAGTCCTCCTCACCTTGACACAGAAGCCGAAATCCGTGGGCATCCCGTAGAGTTTGCGGCCCTGGGTCACCACATACGCATTGGACTCATTCACATCCGCCACATACTGTAGGTGCCTCGGGTCCTGGGCATTGTGAGAAAGCAGGACTTGGTACAGGGAGGTCTTATCTCCACATGAGCGCCTCACCAGGTAAAGAGATTTTAGGACCAGGGAGAGGCAGGGGAATAACCATGTTCACACAGCAACTAGAGACTGAGGGCTGAGGAGAGAGCTCAGTTGGCAAAGTGCCTGCTGGGCAATCGGGAGGCCCTGAGTTTGATCCCCAGCACCGACCTAAAGAGCTGGATGTGATGCTACAAACTTCTAATCCCAGTGTGGGGACAGCAAGGTTCTTGGGGGCTCTCCTACCAGTCAGCCTAACCTAATCTGCAAGTTCTAGGTCCTAGTAGGTACCCTGTCTTAAAAAACAAGGTAGACAGCTCCTGAGGAGGTCCACCTGAGACTGACCACTGACATTCACACACACACACACACACACACACACAAGCAGAGGCGGATTCAAGTCACCTGTCTTTTCTATCGCCATTCCTAGGGTAGGTGAGCTAAACAGGGATTGGGGTAGATAGATGCCCACATGGCCTGAAGACAGCCAGCCCAAGGGGAGGGAAGAATAACTGAGAGTCCCCTGGCCTAAGAGTGGAAAGGTCTGGGAGTACCACTGAGGAAGAGGTACATGACAGGCTAGAGCTGACCCTCAAGACCTCACCTTGGAGGTGCCCTTGGTGGAGTAATAGAGACCAGATCGACGCAGGAAGCAGAAGAACCGTTTCCACAGCTTTCGGCCTGAGCCCCGGCCGGATCCCCGGAGCTGCAGGAAGCCCTGGATCTCGGGGAAGCTGCCGGCATTCAGGAAGTTCTGAGGACAGATGTGAATAGAGGATGAAAGGCTTGCCTCCTCTCAGGCCTCCAGAGGGGCAGAGTCAATCCTGACTGTCACCATTTCCCCAGCAAGGTCACCACAGTGGAGGGAAAATGCCAACAAACATACAGATCAGCTCACACATGGCAGCAGGGGTTAGAAACACTGGATAATGACTCTGGGGGGAATTGTGGATATATGGTGAGAGAGACCTCACCTGGATGAGGTCTTCATGGGATACGCCTGTTTGTGCATCCAGACAGCTGGAGACCATCTTTTCTGGGAACAGGGTATGCTGGGAAAGAAAGGAGTCAGGGATGAAAGCTCAAGAATCCAGGCTGGGGAACCGGTGTGTGTGTGTGTGTGTGTGTGTGTGTGTGTGTGTGTACACCCAGGTTCTCACTCACTGGGGGGCTCTTGAACAGTTCATACTTGGCGAAGTTTTTGCGGAAGACAAAGCGACTGTCTCCGCCCACAGGCCAGGCCTCCTGCACCTCCACCACGAACTCATGGTCCTCCACACCCCGCTCTGCGACCAAGGGTGAAAGGCGAGAGTCGGTAGAGATGAACCAAGCCTCACCGATGAGCCACCTCTCTGGCCCAAGACATCGTCCCACAGCTCCTTGTGCCCCAACTCACCCAGCGCTAAATAGGGGTGACACTCCACCAGGCCCCAGTACTCATCGCTCAGGGCGTGAGCTCGCTGCACCAGCATTTCACACACATGGCGAGCGGTGGCACCCGCTGCCACCTCCACAGACCGGCAGGTCCCATCCTCGCTGTAGACCTTCACCACCTGCACCCCAGGAACTGCAGGTGACTTGGGGTAAGGCAGGGGGGATTCTCCTCTCTGACTCCTATCCTCAAGATGCCCCAACCGCACTAAAGAGGCGCCACCCTATCTGCCCAGGGCTGGGGCCGCTCTGTCCCCGTTTTTTCCCTTTCCCAAAACAACTCACGTGAAGGCGGCCACAGTCTCGAGGAGGCAACCCCCTTGCACCGGAGGACCCCCCAAGAATGGGCTTCTGTGAAGGGGGGCTGCAGAGCTCAGGGAAGGGGTTGGGGATGGAGGGTAGAGAGGTCGCCTGAAGCTCCTCTTCTCGAAGTTTCCTGTGTCGGAGTCGAGGGATGGAAGCCCCTACGTGTTAGCCGGGGCTGGCTCCCCTCCCCGTCCCCAGATCTCCCTGCCAATGCAGCCCCACCGCCCCATCCGACCTGCTGCTTGGGATGGGCAGAGGCTGGGACCGCTTCACATCCCCTGACGGAGGGTTATCAGGGGGCGGGGGAGTCTCGGGAGGGGTCCCAGGAGCTGGGCACACATCTTCCGGGGAGCCGCTGAGATGAGGTGGGCTCAGATCCAGTTCCATGGCACCTGTGAAAACAATGCAGCCCTGCCGATGCCATGTGCTGCCACTGACTGATGTCTTCACACTGCAGCTTCCTCTGAGAAGAACAGGACATGTCCACTTTACAGAAAGGGACACCGGGGTCCTGAGAAGGAAGCGTGCATGTGCCCAGTAGCTTTCAGTCTGGTGACTGGGACTCCAACGCCAGCGTTCTTCCTGCAACAGAAGCCGCTCAGGAAAGAACGGGTAGGCTCCCCGCCACGTGCCCCTAGCTGCAGCCACAGGGTCAGGGCAAAGGCTGCTCCTTCACGGGGCTCTGTGAATTTGTCCAGCACTGTTGTTCTGGCACCTTGTTGCCAGAAGCAGTCGCCAAGCCTGTTGTGGTAACACCTGGCCTAGTGATGAGTGACACACACAGAGAAAGAGGCGGTGAGGAAGGACAGGAATCAGAAAGGCAGGACAGTGTGCTCCGGTTGTGGTGGGAACAGAAGGCCTAGTCTGGGGGGCTCGTAACCCAGCAACCTCCAAACTATGGGCGTTTCCGGGCCCCTCATCCTGCCCTACTTGTCCCTGCAGCCTCACCACCTCCTATGTAGGAGAAGTCCTCTGGGACTTGCCACACTCAGCCTTGTGCCGGGAACCCTGCCCCCATGACTGCGCACCTGTTTTTATCCCATCTCTGGTCTGAAAGCACCTGGCACACACGCCAGAGTCTCACCTATACCTTAGCGCCCACGGGAGCAGAGGAGCAAGGACAAGTAAGGACAGGTGAGACCAGGCAAAGGGAAGAGGGGGGGAGGTTCCAGCCCTTCTCCCCAGGAACCAGCAGACCCCGAGGTGCTGAACCTGGCAGGACCTAGACAAAATGCCAATCCTGGCACCCTGCCTGTTCTCCAGACCCTGCACCAGGACTGTGAGGCTGCCCAGGCACCTAGGAAGGTTCCCGGCACCAGGATAGGATAGGAAAAACCCTTGACCCTTCCGTGAGGGCATGAAGAGATCTGGGGGACAGGTGAGTCAGGGCGGGGCGGGACAGCTATGCCCCAGGCTCTCCATTCAACTTTGACTCATCTTTAGGACTTCCTGGCTGAAGAGGAACACAAACAACCTGCCTCTGCCCTCGGTCCCTGACTCTCCAACCTGGGGAGCCTGGGAGCGGGCAGCCTGGGAGCGAGAGAGAGGTGCGGGTTGGGAAAAGATGAAGATGTGGGGTGGAGCAGCCCGAGGCTTCCGTGACATCACCTTCCCCACCCTTGGCCAATGTCCAGCCCAGGTGGGACCAATCGGCTGCCCACCTTAGTCCTAAACCATCAGCTTGCTTATAACCCAGGGAGGTGGGAGGAAATGCCCGGGCTGGATCCAGGAACCTCTCGGGATTGGAGCCCACCTCCTGGTGATGTGCAAGCAGCATTCAGCCCTGCCTAGCCTGGGTCTTGAACTTACAACTCTCTTTGCTGTTAACTACCCTCAGGATGTACGATGATGCACCTGGCCTTGGGGACTCCTGTATATTGCTCTGTGGAAGAGGATTTCTGAACACACTCTGGGATGTCCTGACCAGAAGGGGACCATCAGGCAGTAATGGAGTTAAAACACCCAAGGGGACAGGCAGGCAGACAGAGCAAAGCACCCCCAGGAGAGCCAGGCAGAACAAGCAGAACACCTGACACCCACTCGCACCCATCTGATGTTTCATTTTAGGGAGAGATGGGGGGAGGTCTCTGCCGGGGTGCCCCTCCCTCCAAGGCAGAAAACATCATCCAGCTGGACAGCTGTTTGAAAGCGGAGGAAGCAGATTCAAGTCAGATTACAGTCTGATGTCAGAGGCCCAGGAGCAGGCTGCACTAGGGTTAGCTTCCAGATCCCTCCACCCCACCCTTCAGCTGGGGAAGGCCAGAAGCCGGCAGGTACCTAAAAGATAAGATGGGGTAGAGGAGCCCGCTGTGGGCCCTGCCTGCAGTCCCTGCCCAAGAGATCGGAGACATTCTAACTAGAGCCTAAGCAAAGCTTCCAGCGGAGAAACTGGTCCCCCAACCAACTAGTCCTCTCAACCAGGCCACTCCAACGGCAGCTCCCCAGCCTCAGCAGCGCCGGCCCCACCCTCTCTCCTACCCTCCCAGCCGCCTTGTTTACTTCCTGAATCTTGCCCCACCTAGCAAACCCCAAGGCGAGTGGCGAGGCCTCAATGTTTAGGGCCAACAGCAAACAAGGGCCACCATCCACTCCTCCCAGGTCTAGGAGAGGGGTTGGTGAGCCAGTGGCCTGGGCAGCTTGAGGACTGGTTCTGGTCCAGTACACCAAGCCAATGCCCATCAGGACTTGGGGAGGGGAGAGGGGGCTTAACCTTTAGGGGTACTGGGCCCAGAGGAGGAGGTAGGAAACCCTTAGTTGACCCGAAGTTGATGCTCCGCCCACTCCGCCCAGGAAAAAACATCCAATGGAATAAAGGGGGGGCGGGACAACTCTTTTAATGTTTAATTTGGGAAGAATGCTAGAGTTGCCTGTAGAGTTAATCATTATTTTGCATTTGAGGAGGTGTACAAACACACACGCACACACGCGCACGCACACACTCGCGCGCGTGAGAACAGAGTCCAAACTAGCACAGACTCACAACCCAGAAGGCATTGCATTCTTGGGGGGGGGGGGGGTCGGGTAAATATTTAAAAAAGGCTGAAAATGCTACCATCTGGCCCTCAGGTGCAGTCTGTCCCAATCCTGCCATGAAGACCCAGACCCGGACTTAGGTCCTTCCCCAGCTTCAGATTCAAGACAGGCCCACATGACCCGCCACACACTCTCTTCCTGGCCCTGCAGGGCAGACCCTTCTCACAGCACCCGCATCTCCAGCTTTCTTTGTCCACATGCATCTGCAGCTGCAGCCGGGAGGGATCCTCAGCCCACCGGGCTTCCACATCCGAGGTGGGACAACGGCGTGGAGGGACGGAGTTCCAACCATGTGGGAATCCCTCTCCTTTACTCCCCTCCAAATGGGAACCCCAGATTGTAGTAAACTGAGCTCAGCAAGGTAGAGAAGGGCCACCTCCGGATGCCCCCCCACACCTCCAATTAGCTGGTCCTGCGTAGAAAGAACTAGTTTTAGCCGGAAAGTCCAGATTTCCGGAGGTGACGAAGAGACCCTACCTCCCATTCACGAATTCACTGGGAGAGAAGGAAGGAGTGTGAGGGGCACAAGATGAAAAACACGGGAGGTCTCGGGGAGCAAGGTGAGGAAGGGGAAGGATTCGAGGTGCCCAGCAACAAACAAAACAATGCAGCGAAGCCGCCAGAGAGCATCAGGAGAATGACGCTTTCCTTAGGGACCCAGACCTAACTTGCATCCCACCCCCAAGATGAAGTTCCCGCTGCGTTCCTTACCCAGACCGTGGACGTCGGCACACCTGCCTGAGGCCACCGGTTTAGGGAGAAAGACTCTAGGCCTTAACTACCACCACCCCCTTTCCCCGCCTGTGGCCTGACCTCACCAAGCGAGGACGTACGGCAGGGGGGGTGGGGGGAGGGAGAGCCTGGCAGCCTCCGGGCCATCTACCTGGGCAGCGGGCCAGATCCGCCCGAGGCGGGCACAACCTGAGGCCCTGGTGAGGATGGGGGGTAGGAGCAGATTGTCTGAGACGGATCCCGGTCGCCTTACCTGGAGGAGCTCCAGCAGAAGGAGCCGGACACCGGGCCCCAAGTCAGGCTCTGTCTAGGGATCCCAAACACTTGGATTTGAGCTCAGATCCACTCTCTCGTCTCTACAGGTGGTTAGGAGGGTATCACGCCTTTGGATGTCGAGGCGGGAGAATATGGAGAGAACCCTGCGTATCCAGATTCCAGGCTCAGGGAAACTAAAATTATCTTGGGCAGGTGAGGGCGGGGCCTGAGAGGCGCCCGCCCGGGAGAAGGAAGCGCTGGAGGAGGGGTGGAGACTCCTCACAAGGCACTGCCTGGGATTGCTCTTGCCCTTCCTACTGGGCAGCAGGTGCCAGGGGAGAGAGCAGGTGCCTGGGGAGAGGCGGGGAAGAGTCAAAAAGAACAGGCTGGAAAGAGAAAAATCTAGTCTGAGGGCGGTTTGTTAGATAAGAAGTGGTCCCGCCCACTCCTGCCGGTCCCTCCCCCAGGATGGTCAGTTCATTGGTCAAGCTAGGGGGCCGTCTTCAACTCCCCCATCCCCCACCCCGGGCCAGGACAAAGGGCACTCGGCTGAAGAGGGAAGCCAGAATAGATGCTCTGCCCTTTGACCTCCAGCCACAGTCTAGCCACTCAGGCTGTGGTTCCCCTGGCCCCTCTGAGATCCCCAAGGTACACCTTCCCTCCCGAGCCAAGTCCAGGGTCTCACCTACCCCGTTTCAAATCTCAGAGTGGCAAGGTGGCCTAGTGGGAGGGGCCACGGTGACCTGGCGGCCGCTGTGGCCCGGGTGCAAGAGATTCCTGCTAACAGCAGTAACTCCAGCTTTCTGGTTCAGCCCCAAACATCGGGGGATCTGGAAGAGGGGCTGAGAGACCCGGATCAAAGGCAGCGGGCCACCTCCCGGCTTCCTATGGGTGACATTTAAAGAAAAACAAACAAGCCACGGGTTGATAAGGGGTCTGCCCCGGAGGACGCACAGCCTCAACTTTTCCCTTGGAAAGCTAATGTGAAAAGGCGGCTATGGAGGCGCAGGCCTTTAATCCCAGCCCTCTAGAGGCAGAGGCAGGTGGATCTCTGAGCGCTCTGTGCCAAGCTGGTCTACATAGCAAGTTCCAGGACAGGGACGACTATACAGAGAAACATTGTCTCAAAAAAACAAAAAGAAAGAAAGAAAAGAAAAGAGAAAGACTAGTATGAATGGGCAAAGCCAAGAGTGAGGAAGGCGGCGGCAAGGTTGCTTGGGCCGGGAAGCAGTTTGAACAGAAAAAACACGGGCGACAATTTACTCAACACTGAGCAGATCCGGGCTTGGGGATACAGAGCAAAGCAACAAAAACAGATCCGCCCTTAGCCTGCTGCAACCCAGTCAGGGAGACTGACCTTTAAGAGTCACACAAACAAAAAAATGACAAGTGACAAGTATGCCAGGTGAGTGACTCACGGGAGGCAGGGAAGGCCTTTCTGCGGAGGTGAAGAGGAAGCAGAGGAGGAGCTGCCGGTGACTGGGAAGCAGAGGGGTTAGCCACTGGAGGAGCAAACATAGGCGGGAACACGGAAGGCAGAGCTAAGGGAGTGGGGGTGGACAGGAAAAGCCGCCATGCCGTGAGCCTGGGCAGGTTGTACAGGTTGGGAGGGGTGGAGAAGAGCCTCGCTGCTCTTAAAAGGCGGGAACAGGGCCTCCAAGTCTCTTAAGCTGCTACGGAAAGCACAGATCCTTGGGCCCCTCCTCGGCCACCAGAGCCCATATCTCTGAGGCAGAGCCCCAGGAATGTGTGGTATTGACCGGCCCTCTGGCGGTTTTGGAAACCAGGTTTGAGAGTCGTCGGTCCTGTTTGTCCAGACTGGCAGGAGTGGTGGGCAGAAGCCAGACCCTACAGGTTGTAGCTGGGCCCAAGGGGAGACACAGAGCAATGGGCAGGATTCCTGTAGATCCCTCAGAATGCTGAAGGCTGGGCTGGAGGGAAGCCGGACTCAGAGGGCTGAGGGATGTAGGATTCCATTTCTTTCTTTAGTAAAGACTTTTTTATTTGTGTGTACATGCCTCTGTGTGTGTGTGTGTGTGTGTGTGTGTGTGTGTGTGTGTGTGTGTGTGTGTACACACGCTCGTGGGTTCCTGCAGGTCTCCTACAGCTGGAACTACAGACAGTTTGGGTCCTCTGGAAGAACATCAAGTGCTCTTAGCCCCTGAGCCATTTCTGTCCTGCCCCAGGATTCGGTCCAGAGGAGTAGGACTGTAAAGGCACAGAGCAGAGCTGAAGCCTCAGCGGGGAGACCGGAGGGGTTACCAGTGGGGACAGAGGCTTGTAGGAGCTGAGGAGTCAGTCTGTCTGGGACCTTACAGGGTGGATGCACAAGGCTGTGTGTTTGTCAGGACTCACTGAAAGTTCCTCATGTAACCATTGCATTTTGTTTGTGTGGGGCAAACTGGGGCTGTGTGTCACACAGTGTGTGTGTGTGTGTGTGTGTGTGTGTGTGTGTGTGTGTGTGTGTGTGTGTGTGTGTTAGAGAGAGAGAGAGAGAGAGAGAGAGCTTCTGTCTGTCCGTCCGTCTGTCAGTGTGTGTGTGTGTGTGTGTGTGTGTGTGTGTGTGTGTGTCTAGAGGTTAATGAGAACCGGTTCTCTCCTTCCAGCAGGTGGGTCCGGGAATCAAAGCTCATGTCCTCCGGCTTAGCCACAAGAGCCTTTAACTGCCAAGCCACCTTGCCCATGGGAGAGGAACTTGAAATATGTATATAAGTTAATGAGAATTTAGGATAAAAGTCACCACAAGCTGAATATGTAAGCCCAGTCAGTACTCAGGAGAATTAAGAGTTCAAGGCCAGACTGAGGTATGCCATAGCATGAGTATCTCCAACCAAACAAAACTAAAATCAAAGACACACAAGAAGGAATGGGTTTGTCGTCCCTTGGCTTAAGATGCTGTTGATCTAGACAAACCCGGTTTTCATTGTTACATTGCATGTTTTTTTTGTTTTTGTTTTTGTTTTTTGTTTTGTTTTGTTTTGTTTTGTTTTTGTTTTTTGAGACAGGGTTTCTCTGTGTAGCTTTGCGCCTTTCCTGGAACTCACTTGGTAGCCCAGGCTGGCCTTGAACTCACAGAGATCCGCCTGCCTCTGCCTCCCGAGTGCTGGGATTAAAGGCATGCGCCACCACCGCCCGGCTTGTTTTTGTTTTTTTAATTTATGTGTGTTTGCCTACATGTATTTAACAATACCACATTGTTGACTGGTGCCCAAAGAGGCCAAAGGAAGGCATCAGATCCCCTGGACCTGGAGTCAGAGAGCTGGAATTGAAGGTGTGTGCTACCATGTCTGGAGACAGTAGCTTTTTTTTTCCCCCAAAGATTTATTATAATTTAGCTGTTTACTTCCCATGATGCACAAAAATAATTCTAAATAGATCCTAAAGGGCTGTAGAGAAGGCTCAGTGGTTAAGAGCACTTGCTGCTCTTCAGAGAACCTGAGTTCAGTTCCCATCACTCACCATTCCAAGGTTCACAACTGCCTGAAATTCCAGCTCCAGGAGATCTGATGCCCTCTTCTGGTTTCCACAGGTACCTGTGTACACATGTACTCATACAGATATCAACACACACATAAATAAGAATAATCATTAAAAAATCATAGCCAGGCTTGGTGGCGCATGCTTTAATTCCAGCACTCAGGAGGCAAAAGCAAGTGGATCTCTATGAGTTCAAGGCTAGCCTGGTCTACATAGTGAGTTCCAGGACAACCAAGCTATGTAGAGAGACCCTATTTCAAAAACATAAACAAGGAAACAAGAAAAAAAATAGATCATAAGCCTAAATATCAGAACTGAACCTATAAAATTTTAGATAAAGTCACAATAAAACATCAAAACAAAGTTTAAAATAATAAAAAGTTAAATAATAATGAAGGAAATCTGTAACCTTGGGTTAGGCAACGGATATATATTTTAATATATATATATATATATATATATATATATAATTATATATTATATAATATATATATTGGTTTTGGGAACAGAATTTCTGTGTACCCCTGGATGTCCTGGAATTCTCTCTGTAGACCAGGCTGCCCTTGAACTCAGAGATCTGCCTGCCTCTGCCTCTCAAGTAAGATAAAGTCTTATACCACCATTGGGCTTGCAAAGGGTTTTTTTAAAGATTTATTTATTTATTATGTATACAGAAAAGGGTGCCAGATATCATTACAGATGGTTGTGAGCCACCATGTGGGTGCTGAGAATTGAACTCAGGACTTCTGGAAGAGCAGTCGGTGCTCTTAACCCCTGAGCCATCTCTCCAGCCCAGGATTTTTTAAAGAAAAACATTAATTGAATGTATTCATTTAGAATGTGTATGTTGCAAAAACCAAGAGAAAATACTTGTAAATTGTCTATTTCATTTATTTCATTATCGATACTGTATGTAGACTACATGAAGAACTTTTGTTTTGTTTTGTTTTTGTTTTTTCAAGACAGGGTTTCTCTGTGTAACAGACCTGGCTGTCCTGGAACTCACTTTGTAGACTAGGCTGGCCTTGAACTCACAGAGATCTGCCTGCCTCTGCCTCTTGAGTGCTGGAATTAAAGGCGTGTGCCACCATCCCTCAGTTATAAAGAACTCTTAAATACCAATAATGAAGACATAAGTAACCCAATTAAAACTGGGCTATAAACTGAGCATCATGGTGCACGCCTTTAATCCTAGTTCTCAAAAGGCAGAGGCAGGTGTATCTCTGCGTTCCAGGTCAGCCAGAGCTACACAGTAAGACCCATCTCAAAAACAAAACAAAATTGGCCAGGCAGTGGTGGCACAGGTCTTTAATGCCAGCATTCAGGAAGCAGAGGCCAGTAGATCTCTCAGTTCGAAGCCAGCCTGGTCTACAGAGTGAGTTCCAGGACAGCCAGGGCTACACAGAGAAACCTTGTCTTGAAAAATCAAAAATAAAAAGAGAAAGAAAGAAAAAGAAAAACTGAATGAATGTTTCTGTTTCAAGTAATATGTATGAATGGGTGAGCTTCCTGAAAAGATGGCCAATAGCATTCCCTAATAGAACAGGTATCATCAAAGAGATGGGAAAGCAATGTGTGACAGCTATGACGAAACAAGTCCCTGTGTGCTCTGTTACTGTTGGTAGTGTAAAATGATACAGCTGCTTGGGAAAAAACAAAACAGGTGGGCAACTTCATAAAGAGGTAAATATAAACTCCCCAGACAGCCCAATATTTCTACCCCTAGGAATCTACCAAAGAGAAATGATGGCACACACCCACAAAAAGACATCCACATTTATAGCAGCATTGTTCAAAACAGACGAAAGCCGAAGAAACCCAAATTAATGTCAACAAATCATAACTGTGCTCTGTCTACACATGGAATGAAATATTACTCTTCAGTAAAAAGGAACTCCTGGTACACCACTGGAGG